GGTCGAGTCTATACTTGTCTGGTAACCTCTCATACATGGGAACAACCAAGGTAACAATGTTAACTGTACACAACAAAATTGAATGTTTATTTACTAAAACCATTAAAAAAAAAAAAAAAGATTGTAGTATTTTACAAAAACACTTCTGTTAAGCGCCCCTGGAAAAAAATGATTCTATTTTATAGAAGATGATGACTAAATCCACAGAATACAAAGTTTAGCCAAAGATCACAAGAGGTTAGTGTGATCTGGTTAGCAGTACTTGGCAAAATGAAGTACCGTAAAATCCGGTGCGTAAGATGCACTTTTAATACCTATTTTTTCGTCTTAAAAGTTGGCTGCGTCTTACACACCAGTGCGACCAATATACCAGTATAAAATACTGAAACATGCACCGTCATTACAGCGGGTGCAGCAGCCCTTATCACTGCAACCTGATGCGATTTAAAACCCATCCCCAGTGTGTGCTTTGCTACGAGTCACAGGAACCTGCTGTGCAGTTATAGTAATTCATAATGTGCATATGTATTTAGTGTTGATCTGAGCATAATGGGTTATGAGGAAGAACGTTGAAGAAATGTTAACGTGTAAATAAAGAGCAGAGTATTCACTTGTCTGCTGGTGTCACTCATTTGACCATGATGAAGACTTGTCTGGTTTAATCACTTAGCCTCTCTGTGTGGAAGTATATTAAATGTTGTGTTGAAATTGTTCACCTCTATTGTGCAGTCTTGCCTCATATATCACGTTGGCGCAAGAACCAACAAGCACACATGCAAAGGAAAGAAAAGCAACTGACACTTGTCATAATCTGGTCCAAGATATAAAATCTTTGCTGAATCTGAAATAATTAAGGTTTTCATAGACAATCTGCGACCCACAATTTCAAAACTGTAATCAATATGTAATAATTATGTAGGGTAAAAGTACCCGCACAGCCTTGCCTCCATTAAACATCTGTTTCTGAATACGACAACATCAGCTGGGTCAGTGCTCAGTCCGCCTTAACAGCAGAGACTTTAGAAGTTTGTGTCTGCATGGATGTGCACTCTGCTCATTTTAGGGAATGCAGATACAAGTAACTGAGAGAATTCTTTCTCTCTGTAACTTTTATACTGTGTGTGCTTTGCTACGAGTCACAGGAACCTGCTGTGCAGTTATAGTAATTCATAATGTGCATTTGTATTTAGTGTTGATCTGAGCATAATGGGTTATGAGGAAGAACGTTGAAGAAATGTTAACGTGTAAATAAAGAGCAGAGTATTCACTTGTCTGCTGGTGTCACTCATTTGACCATGATGAAGACTTGTCTGGTTTAATCACTTAGCCACTATGATTTAAAGCTGGGTGCCTTAAATATTCAGGGTAGACAGTTTTCAATATGGACAGATTTTAATAATGTTTAGCCAAAAAGGACCACCAATTATTCTAGCCCTGGCCTCAACACCTTTTATACTGATTCATTATTAATTAAGCCATTTTAAAACATTATTTTATGACCAAACCACAAGGGACGACAGATGTAAATTAGCTTATAGCTAACTCTGGTACAGTTAATTGGCTGCACACTATCCCTGTTAAAAATTAACAAATAAATACATCAATTTGGTGTGTTTTTGAAACCTATTTATGTTTCAGTTGTGACGACGGAGGATTAGGGCCACGTTAAAACATTTTTTTTTCGAAATTAAAGTCGTAAATTTACCAGAATAAAGTTGTACATTTACGAGATTAAACTCGTAATTTTAGGAGAATAAAGTTGTACATTTACGAGAATAATCTCATAAATTAACGAGTACGAGACCAGCCTGTGCAAAATGATGAAAGTAGAACTCTTAAAGTATTTTCCTCTGCAGACAACTTCCTCCAAGTCAGTGTGGTTCTTTCTTTGGAAAAGCCACAGTTTCTTGCAGTATCTTTTCAGGGTGCTGATATTTTATGACAATGTGAAGGTGATGTGCCAAAAGCATGTGTAGTTTCATATCTGTATAAGTAAAGCACCAACACAATTTGTGTCTGTTATTGGTCTGCCTTGTTAAAGTGTCTCATGTGCAGAGCCAGTTTGTGTCCTGTTCATCATTTTACAGATAAACAAGGTCTTGCAAGTTGAAGTGAAAACTTCTCTTGAACTAACTGTTTTTACCGACTACACAAGGAAGTTTCCTATTTCCTTATTAGTGAAACCTTTAGGACAAGATGCTCCATGTTTGTCATTTGAGAACAGGATGCTGCTGCTCTTCTGATATAGACTAAAATAACGACCTTATTCTTTTAGACTTTAAGAGTTCTACTTCCATAATTTTCGAGCAGGCTGGTCTCAAATTTATTCTCATAAATTGACGACTTTAATCTCGAAATGTCATTTTTATTTTTTTTAACGTGGCCCTAATCCTCCGTCGTAGTTGTGAACTATTAAAGTCATATCAAGTTTTCATTCAGAATGAAAAATAAATGATTTTGTTTAATATCACCCAAATGAGGTTCCAATATATTAAAGAACAGACTTCTTTCTTTTGTCTTTTTGAGGCCTATAAAATTCAGATTTTAGGGCCCCAGTTCAACTGTCCTAAGTCTAGAGCTACAGTATATCAAATTAATCATTTCTTTACTGTAAGCGTTCATTCCAAACCTTAGAAATAAACATTATTCCAAAGGTGTTCAACAAAGTGCAGGGATTTTAGGAGCAGACCCAGAAAGACAAACATGTCAAGGACAAGAAAGGTTGAGTGAAGGATGACTTGCCCACTCATTTGTTTAAAAAAATGTGTTTAATGTTTTGAATATCACTGAAGCTTGAAGGCATTTGAATGCGTGAGTGTGTTTGAATGAATATTTTAGATTGTATTCATGGGTAGATCTAAAATTGTCTGGTATTTGACACGACAATTATTGTCTGAGAATGGTGAATGAAAAAGCCTAAAAAGAATAATTACAAAGAAACCTTGACACCATAATTTTAAAGCAACTACATGGAAACTTTATGACAGTCCGTGTGGAGAAGAATGTAAACTAAATATTTAGATGTATTTTATATGTATTTTTAACGTTTATATATAACATTTAACATTTAGATAAAACATTCAAATATTTAGATATAATATTTAACATTTAAATTTGCCAATGAAATTATCTTACATTTTTATTCACAAAAGTAAATATGACAAAGTTCACAAATATTTCTCTAAATGTGAATAAAAAGAGATGTTTTAGGGCTAAATGTGGAGAAATGTTGTTGTTATTTGTAGTGTGCGCAACTTTACAATCGGCGCCCCATACAGCTGGGCTTTCCAAGTTCAAGTCATGGGCTTCTGCAGTAGTGTTTTCCCAAAATTCTTGGAATCCTTCTTCACGGAGACATTTTATGTCTCCTCTGAGTGTGTCAACAATCTGTTTTGCGATCTGCATGTGTAACTGGCGTTTTTGTAGTGCAGCGTTGACTGTTTCCATGCGAGAGAAGAATTTAAGCATGAGTTTTAAGAAAAAAAAGGTGCTAAATTTCTGCAGGTGTAGAAGAAGTCCGCTGGCTTTACCTCCTGCATCACCTTTGTCATTTAAACACAGGTCCTCTAGAAATTCCATCAGCGCACTGTAGTTAGACGCAATGGATTGCAATGAGGCCGCCTTCACTGTCCAGCGCGTAGGGCACAGAGGTCGCAAAGAGGGTGCGTCTTTGCCTTGAAACCCTTGGAACCAGGAGAAACGCTTAGGTGAATTTCTGATGAGGGATATCATGTCACGAATAAGTGACATAAAGTTGCGACATGCAGGAATATTTTGGGCGACATCATGCACAACCAAATACTGTACTGTGCTCGGGGCTCCTGTCCTAGCACGCGAGCTTCCAAACCAGTTCTAAATGCCAGACACATTTGATGCGCCGTCGTAGCGCTGTCCTCTACATTTCTGAACTGGCAGTGAGAATCTCAACAGAACATCCTTCCTCTGGCTGCAGATTTTTAGCAACAAAACGGAAGCAGACAGACACCTGTTCCCTGACTGTTATCTCGGCTGTCTCGTCCATAATCACGGAGAAAAACTCAGCAGATTTTAATTCTTCTATTATAGTTCTAAGTACATCATGGGCAAACATTTCTGTCATCTTGTTCAGGACATCATGAGAGAGCCACCTGCTCTCCTTATGCACAAGCCATGTCTGTAATTCCGATATGTCAAGTTTAACGACTGGGTCAAGTTGACTCCTCATCGGTGCTTCCTCGGATGGCCAATCCCTGACATGAAAGGGATTGGATTGAGGAAAGAATCGCCAACAAAGCTGTTCTGGCAGCTGCCATTTGTTTGCGTTTACCAGCAGAAATGGAAGTGGCGATGTTAACACCGGAATTAACAGCAGCAGCAATGCTAACAGCAGCTCGGTGAACATTAGATTTCTCATGGAATCTGAATCTCTCCAGTGCTTTGGCCCAGCTGGAAAAGCCATCCTGCACAAAAGCTTTCAAAGACTCCTGATCATGTGTTGTGGATGGGAGAGGAGCACCAGTTGATTTAGCTGTAGTGCAAACCTCACAAAACACCTTGGTTTTAGCTGCATCATACCCTATCCATGGGAAATGTACTTTCCAGCTAGCTTGAAACATCCGGCCCTTCTTCTGTCCATCTTCGCTGCTGCCGCTGTTTTCCTCACTTGTGTTAGCTGACACATTGGAAGCATTGGCACTGGAAACTGTAACATTGCTTGATGTTTTTGTTTTTTTAATCACAAATTTGTCCAATTCCGATTTCTGTAACATTAGTTATGTGTGTATGTTTCTGGTTGACTCAAGAAGAGACATTAGTTATGTGTGAATGTGTAATATCTGAGTATGCTAATTTGAATAAGGAAATACCACAGCTAAAAAAAAGCTCCGAGCACTCATGGAATCGGCACCTATGGCATGACATTGTTTATTTTAAGTGTACATGCATTAGACTGTAAGAGTAACTCAAAGAACAGACTTTGTGGTGCTTGACAAGTACAGAGTAGAGACAGGAGTTTTTGATTGTCTGGTTTGACTAGGTTTATTGACAGTGTATTGTTACAGACACTCAGCTTATGATAGCTTATTTAAGAAGTGCATGAGAACCAGGGTAAAGAGAACTTTGTATTCTGAGCAGCATTTTTAATTAATAAACATGAATAATAATTTGACAGGATCACTCCAGGTTCAAGGTGTTCTTCATCTACTCAAACAACTTGCAAGAGATTGTTAAAGAAATGCATGGCCAGAATCAAGATGAAGCCCTACTATTCTGACATTAATTGCTTAATCCTAAATTTCCCACAATGCAACCTGAAAGTGTCTTGCTTTGCTCCCTGACTGGCTGGTAAACGCTCACAGCTTACCAACTCCAAACCCCAGAGTTTGTAACAGGCTATGTGTTTGAATTTGAGTCCAGTCATATACAACCCGCATGACACGGTTGACATCATTAGGGGTAATTGAATTTAAATTTTGAGCCTAATGGGATTAATTTCTTTGTGAAATAAAGTTTAGAAGAAAAAAAAAAAAAAAATGTTCCCTACAGAGTTGAACTCCACATTTCAAGTAGATTGTGCAATTTGTGTAAAACTGTTGGAGTTCCATCGTTTTGTCCACAATATTTTGGTCTTCAGAATAAGGGATCTCTTAAAAACCTGGAGGTAGACCATATCATGTAGCGCTTTAGCTTTGAGATTTCTCCCCCTGGAGAGCTCTCTAGGTGTGAAAGGCACCAGTTTTGTATTTCTCACAGTATCAGTCAGTATGTTTAATATGTCATTAGTTCCTTTAGAAAGTTGACACGCCCCTAACACCCCCAGCTTGAAGACTGGGGGCCTGATTCACAAACGGATTGTGCAGCTTTTGCGCCCACTAAATCTGTGCACATGACACAAAAAGACAACATCTAGTTCACAAAACACGACCAAAGGTTTAAATGCTCTCCAAACTGCACTGAGTGTTGTTTTACTCTTTCAGTTGTCCCCTCTTGATCCATTAGGGAGGAAGCTTTATGTTGACATATAATTGTGCTCCATCAGCACGAGAGTGCAGGTCCACACAGAGTAAAAGGGTCAGAAAGGTTCTCTCTACATTCAGACCCAAAGCAAGAGCAAACTATACGGAGCAAGACAACTTTATTGGCATTTTTGTGCCTGGATATCTTTAGTGTTAGATGCTTTTTGAATTAAACCTTGAGGCACAGATAGCGGGAGCAAACGATGAACAATTTTTTGGGGCCATTAGCTATATCCCAACGTAGTGAATCAGGCCCTGAGAGCTATCCCCATCCTTACACAGGGTGGCATACAGCTCATCAAAATGCTGCATTTATGACTTGCTCTCTGCAGATTTCAAGTTTGAAGGTGTAAAACTTGAATAAAAAGAAAATCTCGAAAAGGAAAAAAAATGTTCCAGCAGGAGTAAGGTTAGGATGCTGAGGTAGGAACAGGGGGCTGCAGAGAGGGCGTCAGTGAAGAGGCATAGAAAGAGTCAGGGACAGCCTTGGCGTACTCCACCAGCTCATAGGAATCTCTGATGTCTGTCAGACCAAACCAGAAGACAGTCCACACTCCATTAACGAAGCTGCCATCACAGTGTTTGAAATACCTTCACAAGAAGAGAAAGAGAAAAAAATAGATCAGGTGTTTACAGAGTTCATTCTATCATGCTGCAGTTTATTCTCCCCCTCCCCTTCTGCGGAGCGGGATTCATCGCTGAAAATGAAAAACGAAACTTAAGAGTTAGCCCATAAAAATAACTCCATCTCGTATATAGAACTGTTTGAGATTTTCCAAACTGACAGGGCGCAAGAAACAGTTATCTGAAGAGTTTGCACAGTTAAAGTTTGCACTTTGGGTGGTGAAACAACGAACCTTTTTAACGAGTCCGAGAGACGTTAACGTCTGAGAGTCAAACAGAGCGGCGCTCAGACAAACCGTCAGTGATGGGAGATATAATCCCGTTTGTTTAAACTGATGCTGCCTCTGTTTTTCTGATCTCTCTTGTTTTTTAGATGTTACTAACAAGCCCCTCCACTCGAAGCTCACCTGTTGTGATAACGGAAATGGGAATTCAAACAAAGTCATGAAACGGTGGAAGGCGAATGTATCAGCCTGAACTCGGTTGTTAAAAAACAGGACAATCATTTATTTCTATGCATTGATTTCCATGCATGCTGCTTAAAGTGATGTCAGTCAGCAGCCCTTTCTCCCCTTGCTCAGTGTGTAGCAGGTGAGAGCAAGTAACCATGGTGACTGTCTGTCAATCAACGATGCCCCGCTCCCTCTGTTAATAAAACTCTCCTCTCAGTCAAACTTACTTTGAACATGTGACACAGAATAATCACATTTTGGATCATGTTTGAATTCTACACGTTTTCAAATGAATGCATTTCTGTATAAAAATTAACCTGATGAACACTAAACTAGATTTAAAGACACAATACTAAATCATCATTCCAAGTTGTGCAAAAAAAAACACTCAAATTGTGCATGAAAATTGATCAGAAAGTAGGGAAAGACATTTCTGGAGTTAAAAATGTTTTGGGAGATTCCCCCAAACAAAGAAATAAAAAAAAATATATGTATATATTATGATAAAAAATTATTAAATCTTGATCGTGATACTGACATGAAGGAAATCGTGAATATTTTTTTTCATTTCCAATCAACTCAAACAACAAGCAATTGTGCTTCAGCACAGTGCGGAACAACTGCGCCTCGTGTGAGCGCACCCAAGCCCAATATATGTGCTGCAGGCAGAGCTGAGAGTATTAACTGCGGAGTCAGGGCACCCTCTGCTGGACTAAGTATGTGATGACAGCATTTTTAAACGAAGTACTGTGTTCAGTGTTCAGTATAGGCCCATATCAACCCTCCAAGTATGGCAACTAATGTAGACTGTAGATTAGGGACGTTCCTAGGCGACTAATTTTTAAGCAGTTATTTAAATTCAGACCAACAGACTTGTCTAAAGATAAGACAACGGTCAAAATGGTTTGCAGATGGGCCAATGTTTGTAAGCAGTTTGTAAGCGCCGATAAAAGAGCATGAAACGTAAAGTGAACTCCAACAAGAAAGTCTCAAGAATATGTTTGTGTGCATTTGTGTGCGTCATACCAGGGATTTATCTTGTTGGTGGCTCTGGACCTCCAGAACAGTTTGCCCAGGTCCTGTCTGATACATTCCCACAGGATTTGGCTGGTGCCCTGACCCTGCTTACTACTGCTCACAACAAATTTATCCAGATAGGGAGTGCCTCTGTTCACCGGCTCCATGGTGATGATGGCTGCCGCGCTGTACCTTTAGGGACAGAGGGATAATATTGAGGGGAAAGACTTTGTGGGTTTACATACTTGTTGTTGTATATACTGTGCGGATGATAGGGTGCAGATGTATTAACTACTGATCATCTCAATTGCTGTGTTATTGTTTCTGTTGTATTTTTTCCAGGAATAGTTTCACACACCCTTCAGAAAGATAGATGGAGTAGAGTCTTCCTTTCAGAGAGTCAATGTAGTCTTCCCTCAAAGTTTTATCAAACGACATGTTGATGAGAGCCAACAGCCGCTCTTGATCGATCCCGTCCAGAGAGGTGTACCTGCATACAAACACACACAAACACTCATGTACTCTGAAGGTGGTAGGTGAGCAGTGTGTGTTCTTAAAGAAATCAACAAGGCCTGTTAAAAATGTAGGTGCCTATTGGGACATTTGATAGTTGATATCCTTTTTCACAGTTTAAAGCCAAATATTCCAAGATTTTAAACTTGTGAAGTGTAAAGTGACTCTGCATTTGTGGTTGTGAATATATGGAAGTACCTACCTATGGGGTCTCCGTTTTTAAAGAGAGTCCCAGACCCTGAGAAAGCAGTCAAGACAAAGAAGAAGCAGTTGTAGAATAAATATAGACAAAACCAGCGCCCCAGACAAATATACCCTATGGCCCACTCGAGTTGCACCTCTAAATAGCTCGCCATTAAGTTAGTGAGCATGTCAGCAGTCTCACCTCTGTGGCTGAACAGCTCGCTCAGCAGAGTGTCTGCGGAGGTGATCACAGCAGACGACTCGGTCGGCAGCTGATTCAGGAGTCTGGCTATGGTGGACACTTTGCGCTTTTCTGCAGCACTCAGCCACACGGCTGTGGACAGACTGGGTAGGTCACTGGGAATGATACTGTTTCCAACACCTGTAACACAAATACCATTATAAAAAGAGTGAATGAGAAAAAGAGAGAAAAACATACATCCTTGCATTTATCAATGCCTGATCATTTAACCCCAAAGAGGCACCAGTCAAGTTAAGACCAGCGGCCTGTACTATGAAGTAAGTTCAACATACCCTGGGTAATGTTTGGTTATCTTGCTTCTCTAACTCTGACAAATGAGACCACTGAAATCCATTATCAAAGCAATAAGTAAACCGATAGCTTCTATGAGTTCACACAGAGGGGTCATGTTAGCAGAATTTGTACAATCACAAACATGAACAGGTCAGCTGTCAGCAAATCGTCATTTTTTACAAACAAATATATAAGAAAAGTAAACGTATGTACTTCAGAATAAATCACCTCAGCTGCAGCAACAAATGCAGCAAGAACAGAGGCCTGTAACAATGAAGCGAGTTCATCATAATCCAGGTATCTTTAGGTTATCCGGCTTCACTAATCCCACTAATGAGATCTGCTTAGCAGTCACATGAAGCTGGTGATCTTTTTCTGTC